TGTACTCGGCAAAAATTCTAGTTAAATCGATCGAGAATTCTGGTTCTCTCAACTATAAGAATTATAAGAACTGTAAGATTTAACTAGAAAATTCTGATTTATTCATTTTCAACCAGAACTCTTCCAAGTGCAAGAGCTTTATTATTATTATTATTGGACTGACGATACGAAATCTAGGGTGAGAATTAATGAGATATCCCTTCGAGTAGCCCTTTCCACAGATTCATTCGCAAGCGCATTCTCGACGACGTTAGGCAAACATGACGCGTAGAATCCGAACGCGACGCACTCTCGACGAGATACCATTGTCTCTCGAATTCGAAGCTGTGCGAGTCGATTACGTATATCGCCCATCAAAAATCTCGTTTCATCGTTACCGATCGCATTGCACTCTCGACGGGTTTAATGAGCAACGCGCGGTGGATTACGGCGCGGCGAAGTAAACCGCTCGATGGCGATACGGTAGTTTAGTCCTAACGGCACGGTTCTCTCTCTGTATCCGAGCGATATTCGCTCTTCGCGCGCGCGCGCGCGCGCAAATTTGCGCGCGTACACTGCGGATTATTGCTTCCGGACGAAGTGGCATAACTCGGCCCCGGTCGAGCACGCCCAGCTCACATTCAAACGACGTAGTCTGGTCGTTAGCCGATTTCGCCCGGGAGGTGATAAAGGATTGGGTGGATGGAAATCAGTTTGCCTCGAAACACACACACACACACACACAGAGCGGCGCAAGCAACCGTGACGCCGCACGTGGGTGCTTTCATCCAGAGGCAGTTGATTTTCTCTTCCTCGACAATTCACTCGCCTTTCCCGATGCCTGGCATTGCGTATTAATTTCTAATCGCGCGCTAATTCGTTGGACGGGTAAATCCCGAATCGGATGAAGGAACGTAAGCCCACAAGTCGTTGTGGTGGTCGAAACGTTGTTATTATTTGACGACAAGATATATTTGATTTTTTACAAAATTGCGAGGGGACGCGCTCGATTTATCTCGCACGATTAATTCTGCGCAAGCTCAGATAAGATTATTGAACCGCTAGATAAGACGCACATTATGTCGTACTTGACGATGAAGGTTAAGTCGATCAACAAACACCGAGTAACGAAGCATAATATTACGCCGAGTGATACGTGTCGAGGTTACAGATGTATTTCAGTTATACATTCAGGCATAAATTTTGAAATGCGTGTGATATCTTCTGTCTCACTAATGTAAATTAACTTTGATCTCGGTTTAACTGACTTTTTATCTTTTTCCCGCTTTGTCAGAATTAGAATAAGATAGAGTAAATTAAATTGAGATTAACGTTAACATTGATGGAAGTGGACATTAAACTTTCTTCTATCCGATGAAAAAAAAAAATGTGTCTTCGTTGTAGACGAGATTATATTAATCTTCATCAGTAGTAGCGCTAAGTACATCGATGAACAAATTTCTTTTGCGATCGATGCTTTACTTTCCCCTTTTGCATCGCAGTAAAAAATGTCCAGCGCGCATTCTACATAAAATTCACGCGATTTTGCCATTTTACACATCCGCGAATAGAAACGTACCGTTTGTCGTTAACGTGCATTTTGACGTAGACGGTGTTTTAATTCGCTGACAGAAACGTACTTTTCAGTGTCGGATCAGAAAGAAGAAGGAGTCTCGCATTTTCGCGCGACTGCAAATAGCAACTCGGAGAAAGTAATTAGTTCGACAGGTAGGAGATGTGGAAAACGCAGTTTCAAGTATTTTTTCTTTTCATTTACTTATTTTTTGCGGCTCGCAAAGCCGCGACGGAGAGTGCTGGAGGAAAGAGCGAGTGCAATATTGACGCCGAGTTGCAAGCCATGTCGTTATCCGCCGATCTCCGACACACACCTTTCGTCCTATAAAATTCCCTCTAAAATTGAAGCCTTTCTCCTTCGCTTCGCCGCGCCATTGCGGCTTACAATCTACACTGGATCCTCTGTGTACTCTCATGCAACGTTGTACGATTAGGCGCGGAGGATCAATGTTCGGTGTGACGGTATTTGTGCCGAAATCGAAAAGGAAGCTTGTCTTACAGTACAGTCTTACGTGCAGCATGTAATATTTTGATATTATTGAGCTTGATAATTTATCATACTTGAAATTATGTTATGGACATTTTACTTGCCGTAAAATGAAGTATTTGACCCACATTTCAAGAAATGCCTGAACAACGTGTATGTTCAAAATGAAGACATAAGACGTTAGTACCTACAATCGTATACTATCTCATCAAATTTGAGCCAAAGTTACCTTATTTTACAATTTCCTTAAAAAAAAGGGGGGGGGGGAGAAGAGAAATAAAAAAATTGGTTTAGATTCTTGATCAATAAAGAAAACTAGTATGACTGAGTTTCATTTTCTCGCTACTACATACAGTTTATAAAAATCACCCTAGATAACCAACCTTGGATTAAACGAGAGTCTACTCTGCGGATCGATAGTCTCTACTCCGCACTTTGATAAATTTTTCAGCGCAACGCAAAAATGATCATAATCCATGATTCGGCGGTACCTGCGAGATTCCTCTACGGCGCTGGAAAAAGAGTCTTACGTTTCGTTGGGCCACCGAACAATGACGATTGCGACGGGGGAGAATTTATTTCTTTTTAGGTCTATACTACTGTAATGTATAATACTTCATTTCGCGAAACGCAAAAGGGGAGGACGGGGGCCGGTTGCTTCAAGGAATCCTTGAAGAAACGTCATTTACCTTTACGCCGATCCTGCGATTGGCGGGAGGGATGCTGTCGCGGGTAGAGAAGGCTGGCGGAATATCGTATTACATCTGCGGAAGACGCAAGATTATTCGAGCTCTCGGGGCCAGGTGGTGGAACGGGACGGCGTGGCGCGCGCGGGCGAGGTGGAGAACAGCAGGGGGAGACTCGCGTAGAGCCGCTCGATTCTCTATTAGAGGGTAATACGTATTATCGATTTTGGGATGAAACCGGGAGGGTTATCCCGGTTCAAATCATGACAAATGTATAGATACACACCGACGCGCGCGCAACCGCGCGTATGTGTATGCACATCGGTGAGAGCGTTTCTCGCGACCGCACCCCGGAAAAAACTTTTTCCAATCTCTTCCCCGCCCCCCCCCCCTCCCCTTCTCTTCTCTTCCTCCTTCCGGCGCCACTGCTGTGAATTTGTTTGCCTGGGCCGAAAAACAGGGTCGTCGACTTGGAGAGATCTCGCAAAAATCCCCGCCGGTGAGAGGGTAGCTCGCGGTTCCTAAGCGGATTCGTCTTCGAAATCCGGCGATAATTGCCTCGAGTTTCTGCCGTATTTCGATTATTGGAGAGATACTTTGTTTAGAGGAATCAATTACGATGTTGCCACTGTGTATAGTCGAGATTTATCCAGATTATATATATATATATATATATAATCTGCCAAATCTTGTTGATAATTTTGCGAAAACTATATTTATTGTTTAATTATAAACTATTAAATGAATGAAAAAATTTTTTGAGACGAATACTAAAATATTGTAATCATGGTTATTGAGTAATTAGTTAGTAATGTAAGTAATCGACTTTTCCAATTGACTGCGTTCAGCAGAGAGAAAACTAATCTTATTAAACTTATCAATTAGCTGCAATTACTACTTAATAATCAATCTTATGATTATATACACAAGAATTATTTTAACCTCTAAATGCCCCTTTTCGACATGGCATGCTTTTCCAATGCTTGTTGCCCAATTTTTTTTATTAACAAAGATACATTTATTTAGAACTTATATATTCTTTAATGTTCTGAATTTTTATTGAGACGAGTTTTTTACGATATGTTTATTTTTGTGAAGGGTTGCAAGTAATCGAATTAGATTAGTATATATATTGTGCGTTGTTTCCATAGTGAAACGTTTAAGAATTAATCATGTTCTCTGTAATCGTCAGTTATGAAAATTGTTTTCGTCCGATATTGACAGAGTACGATGAATTTTAAATGTAAAGTAGTATTGTTGTGATCGAGGTTGAGACGTAATACGGTAATATTGCATAAATGAAAGACTCAATAATGTGCACTCGATAATGACTGTTTGGGTTCATCGTATCGCGGTCATTGAGAGACGTGTGTCATCGGTCTTTTTGATCCGGTAGACGATTCGCTCGTCGAGATTTACGAGTCGCGGTCCGGGGCACTTCGCGAAACAAAACGACGCTTCGCGGGCGGCCGTATAAAGACAGCGGCTGAAAAAGCGTCGCGAATATTGACAGGTACGGTGAGAAACTGCCCGGGTTAATCGCAGAAAAAGCTGTGGAATCGAGCTCAGCGACACCAAACCAGAC